CCCTACCCCCACAAGCGCTGGCTGACCCAGACCGCCCTGGCACTGGCATAAGAGCACGGGGAGTGGGGGGGGGGCATCTCCAGTTCCCAGCACTAAGGGATGCCACGATGCCACAAAGTCACTCAATTAATGAGACTCCCTGACCCCTTTATCACCATATGGATTTCACAACCTCCTTTGCTTCCTTTCAGTAGTACAGCAGCTCCAAGGAGCCTCTGAAGTAGTGCCTTCTCGCGTGGTGTGATACGCTGCCGAAATATCACAGCATCTCAAGGGACCGTAAAAGTTGTGAAGTATTGCAGCAACGAAAATAATAAAAAGGAGCCTCACATGCAGCAAGATCTACAGTGGTGATGTGGGTTAGTCATCAGCTGGGAAAATCATTGGCTCAGCTCCTCCTGGTACACTGTGGCAACTAAACATTTAAACAGTTGGCTACGCTCTACATGTAAACAGGAAATTGCAACAAGCCAAAAAGGTAATAAATCGGTGGATGTAGTGTAATAATGAAAAACCCGATCAATGGCATTTTGTGACTATGGCATCCTTCAAAATACCTCTGGCATTTGAGACTGATTGGCTGAAAGTCTAAACGTTTCTGAATGGAGCAAAAAGGACTACGCTGGGCTCCAAGAATATTCTGATGCTTAGCTAAAATGAGATGTCACAGTATTAGCTGTACAAGTGCATTACTTACGCTCCTCTACCCAACCTCATCTGAGCTACCAGCAGCACAGTCAGGGAGTGCCAAAGCAGGAATACAATTTTGAACATTTCTAGCCTGTTCCCTCCAGACAGGTTTACCTACACGCTTCTCAGGAAGCTGACCAGTGCCTTCTGAGAGAACGTCACTTCTTACACGACACGGAGCGGGCACTTGGGTAGATGGGCCCTGCTGAGCCCTGGTGTCTCTCGGTCTCTCTTCTCACCCTTCTTCCTCACCTACAAATCTTTGAAAATGCCTCCTGGCAGAGGCAATACCCTAGAAATGTATCCAATTTAATGACAAATAAAAATGGAACAGAAGATCCAGCTGTTCCTCCCCTGGATGTTGGTTTAAAGGCAGCTCGCCTGGTTTTTGCAGGGTGGCAGTTCGAAATTTATGGACATGGGAGGAGGTCTCCACTCTCCCTCAGACTTCCTACAGATGTCGTGACAAGGGCAGTCTGAGGCCCTTCTGACCTGTCAGTGTGACGACCATCAGCCAACTCTTCTGACTAATTGCATATATTTCTCAGACGCCCTCCCAAGACCCCTCCAAAAAGTAAAAAAACAACAACAAAAAAAAACCCCCCTCAAAAACCACCCCCCCCAAACCCTGCAGCCAAATACTATGACATCCCAGTTAGTAAACACAAAACGTAATGCTTTACAAAATGAATACAATATTCCATGTGCACCCAGCTTCCACACGTCAGCACCGCACTGAGGAGGCTGCTGGGCTGGTGTCTGTAGGCAGTTTCTGTTGGCAGACAGCTCCAGTGGAATTGCCACCCTCAGTTATTGTTTAAGTTATGTATAAGACATGTGTGAACCATTGGATATTTGTGAAGTAACACTTGTGCTCCTGCTCATGCCCTGTTCCGTCCGTCCCCCAGAAGCTGTCCGCCTCAGAGCCTGGGGGCTGTTGCGGACCCCTATAGCACTACTTCGAGGTACCCCCTGCATGGGCCCCGAGGGGTGACCCCATGGCTGGGGTCCACCTTGCATTGGATGGCCCCAAGCTTGTGGTGGGCCACCCATGGGATGACCCCAGTGAGGTCCTGCACCCCCAGTAGGATTGTGGGACCAGCCAGAAGCTCCCGGGTAGCTGTGGCTGAACGCCTCGGGGGAGAGATTAGAAAGAACCATATTACTAAAACCTAGCCTCATGCTTTCTGAGTCAAAGGCTTCGATCTCGCGAGCTTGACGCTCCAGCAGGCTTCGTATCCGTTCGGTACGCTCGTTCTGCAACGCCAGCATCTCCTCCTCAATCTAGGAAGGAAAAAGAGAAGAGACAGTCTGTAGCAGCAGGACTCCTTTACAGGCACGGCCTCAAGTCTCTGAAGGACTGGTAACAGCAAGATAACGAGGAACCTTCTCCCCATGTTTCTACATGAGACTGGATCTAGATCAGATGTCCACTGACACACAATCTGTTCTGAATGCACAAGGGTAAGTCCCATAGATTGGCACATGCCAAAGTATGGTGAATACCAGTCGGAGACCCTTGGTCCCCATTCCCTGGTGAATACGAGGGTTTTAGGGATGTGAATCCCAAGTTTGCAGTGATACTAACAGCTTGACATAGATTAATCTTTTGAGATGCAGCAAAGTCTACAGCTTCCATAAAAGCCTACTGGGAAAGCACCTTCAGATACAGCCAGGCACAGTGCCTGTACAGTCAGATACCTGCCAACACAGCTTAATGTGACCTTCGCTGTTTATAGCTGAATCCATGATGACGACTGCTATTTTCTCCAGGATTCAATGTACAAGCCCACATTCAGTTTCCTCTCCAATGTTCACTGGCCAGGTTTTCTTAGTTCATGTTTGTCACCTCCTATCTATCCCTTTCTTTACTTGGTTTCTCATGTTTCATTACCCTGGTATTTTCTCTACTGTGTGTGGCTGAAGAAAATAGGCAACGATGTTTGAATTGTGTGGCACATTATTAGCTAGATGATATGCAAGTTGGCAACTCCAATTCCTTCCCTGTAACACTGTTCCAAATCGGCTTCCAAGGGTACTTTGGTAGGGACAGCAGGATCAGCTCTCTAATTACAGAAAACACGGTGCTACAGCCTCCTGACACCCACCAGACAGGGAAGAAAGGCTTTCTTATTGAAATCTTTGCAGTCAGGTGGAGAACCAAAGAATCACTCTGTTATCTTCTTGCCAGCATTGAAAAAGTTACTTTTGACCTCAGTGAAAAAGACCAAATGGGTAAAAAGCAGCAGCCAAGGCTTTTAGCATAACTCACTGGCATCTCCCCTGCTGTCAGCAGCAATGCAGCCAAGAGGTGTTATCTCCCTCTGTGCTGAAGGTACTGGGCAGAATGCTGTACTCGTAAGCACCCTCTCGCCTTAGTCAGGGAATATGCAAAGTGATTTCATCTGGAATTTAGGAAACAATCTGCTCCAGCGTTGAGTCATCTCCTGAGCCATTTGGGGCTTTCAGAAACTGCCTTTACACACTTGCCTGTTTCTTAGTGGTAGGTGAGTGACACTGGCTCTCTGAACAGATCAGCCTTGCTCACTCCTGCTGCAAGCCAGGCAGTGGTCAGCTGGCTTGGAAAAGGCAGAAGAGGAAGAAGATGCCTTCTCTAATGTCAGCTCTTCAAAATGCTCCATTTGTTTTTTCCAGTCCTGCTATTTAAGCAAAATCCTCCTCTTGCTTTTTCAAAACTATGGTGTCTTCAGCATGTCCAGCTGCTCGGTTTCCAGGCTGTGTGACAGTGTGACACACAGGACTTGGTGCAAGTGAACTGCACAGAAAGGCACCTCCAACACACCACACTGAAATGACATCACTTAGAAACGACCTCAGGATGCAGGACTCCGAAGATGATGTGTCTGAGGCATGTGGGAAGGAAATGAGTAAATCTCAAGTCTTTTAAAGACACTCTTGAGACACCCTCATTACTGGTGCAACACAAACAACACAGCATCAGGGTACAGCTGGCACTCAGAGGCTGCACATCGATGGGGCTGGCTACTCCCTCCGTAGCCTCAGACAGACACATACACTCTGGTGAGTTACTATGGTGATGGGCACCATCAAAAATACAGAGCACTGTGCTGAGAAGGAAGCAGTTCTATGCACACCTGAACTTCTGGAATCTGGTTTATTATTGGACATCAGGGACTAACTTTGCCACAGGCTATGTATATAGTTATGAATATAAATTCAGACACTCATCTCGTGCACGCACCTTCCTCTGGCTGTCAGTTTCAGTTAGCACAGGCATACAGATACTGGGTGAGATCGCTGAGCGACCCACACCAGGATACCCACAACTCAGTTCTCACAAAAACAGGGCAACTCCTTCCCCCAAAGAATAGCCTTGCAAAAGGAGAACACATCTACCTTTGCACCCACGTGTTTTCCCTTGAGCTGCTGCTAAGTGACTGTAACCCCAGCAAGAAATAGAGTCTTATCGTTGTTCTATGACTTTGTGACTTGCAATGTATTGCTAAATAAAGGCTCCCACCTATGGAAACTGAAGAACCATCCAATCTTTTGCTATTCTAATGCAGTAGTCACACAGGCACATGTAGGGCTCACAAACACACACAGAAAAATTATTATAGGTCTTAATTTTCTGATTTTTTTAATGACATAGCATTGCTAAGCTTCCTATCACCAGCACTGATGCCAAATGCTTCACAGAGGCTTTTTATGCACAGAGACTTGAATCCTGATCTGCACTGAAAGACTTTTACAACATTATTACTGGGTGATGCGTGTTCTTTAAGCCTCACTTCAACTTTTAACATAAGACCACAATGCAATATATGCTGCTCCCACAGACAAGGAGCCATGACCAGCAGCAAGCTTGCTGTGCCACACATCTTCCCAGAGCTCTCGGCAGATCATGCCACCAGAGGGCAATCCACACCCGGCATAAATACACACTCAGTGCAGGGCAGTGACGTCCTCTTCTAGATGGGAGCAAAACAACCAGCGATGGGGTCTAAAGACATTTATTACACATGTGAGTGCCTCATGGGAACTCTGTTTTCAAAAATTCAGCTGCTTCCAGAGATTCATTTCTACTTGCAGGAGACCAGAGCACAATAGGACTGTGGTCTTCTCAGAGATGCTTCCTCAGCTGTCCGTGAGGTGGAGCAGTTTTATTCCGAGGAAGGCCCTCTATCAGCCCAGCATCCATCCCTTAGCCTCTGGGAGAAATGAAGTGTGAAGAACCTCTAGGCCACAGAGTAATTGCCCTAATTTAATAATCGCCCATCAGCAAAGCTGGGAACTGTTGTGTGAACTGCGATGGCTGGCACCCACAAAGCAAACCAAGAGGGAAAGAATTTGCAGAGGGAAGGCTGACTGCGTATTTCCCTTCACTCACTGGTGCATCACCCCTCCCCTGGTTTGTGCAGGCCATTCACACACATTTCTATAGACACTACATGACTGGCACTGCATAGAAAAGCATACTTCAACAAGGAGCATCTTAATACACGGAGCCAATTACAAGCTGAAATTTAGGGAGCTGCAGGTCAGGTCACCCATGCTCGTGGGTCTGGCTACATCAGTTTGCTTATACAAACATCATTTTCATAGGGAAATTGCAGCTTGGTCTCCACAGACTGACAAATAGAGCAGAGCTGCAGTAAAATAATATCACCATGAAACAAATACATTTTACACCCACCTCTCTCCCCAAAGATACCTACTGCTGATACCGTGCAAACTTCAAAAAACCCCCTAGCTTTAGGTCGTTATTGTCTGTCCTCTAATGAGCTGGGGAAGCTAATCTGCAGCTCAGAGACAGACAGAGCAGTTCGCTTTCCCTTCTGCCCAGAGAGGCACGGATCCCTCTGGCACGCTTCAAGCAGCTCTATCCCAGTCAGAAGCTGCTCACATAGGATGGCTGAGCTGGCAGAAAGTTTAGCCTATATGTCACTGAGCTATCATCCCAGAAAGGCAAATACCCAAATGACCCGTGTTACTGCGTACAGCAAGTTAAAAGCAGTTCCTCTCTCTATTGATAAGTACAGTGCAAATTAAGATCTGAAATACAGAGCATGCTCGTGATGCTCGCCTGTACATTTTACCTTCTGCTCAAGGAGGGCCCGACGGAGGGATACCCTCTGCTCAAGATCACGCAGCTCCCGATCATGCTGGGCTTCTGCCTGCATCTTGATTTTACTCTGATATGCATTCAGCAGCTCCAATTCTTGCTGCAGCTGCATCTTCAAAACCTGGCACTCTGCTTCCTGTGCTTCATCCAAACGCAGCTGGGAAAGAGAGACAATAGAGACGTTTGACTATGGGGTAACCACTCATGACACTCCAGGGGAGGACTGCTGAGAGGGGGAGAGAATGGGATGGGACATTGTTGTCTTAGCAATACAATTGGTCTCTATCGTACTTCGTTTCGCTGAACAGAGGACCTATAGTGATAAAGACTGGTGACAATGAGCCCACAGCACTGATGCAAGTGATGCTGATGAGCAGTGGAGCCTCAGGAACCACGACCCGTACTGCAGAGACCAGACTGCTGGAGGTGCTAACATCCACTGCTCTCCTTTTGCCAGAGGCAAGGAGAAGATCTCTTGCTCTGTTCAACCGGATTAACCAACTACCTGTACGCAGGAGACTTAAGTCTGTACCCCTGCCCATGCAGGACTTCAGGAGAAAGAATAATAATGACATAAACCTACAAGCAATATGATACTGAACTTGTAACCTTCCCATACAGAAATTAAGCCAGCTGCCCTGCCTCACAGCGTCAGATTTGTACAGAGCAACGTGAGCAGGACACAATATACAAGAAGTGCAAAGAAAACTGCACATTCAGTTGTAGCAGGGACTCAAAGCATTGCTCATAGGTCATTCCTTAGAGAAGGAATCTCTTAAAGAAGGAGGCACAGAACTTTCACAACACTTCTAACATTATTTCAGAGTCAGATTTACAGTCAAAACTCTGGACTCCTCCATGACTCAATGAGCACTTTCCACCAGTGGGACATGCTTTGGGTGGTATCATTGACATATTGAAACTTAAATGACTTAAGACAGCAAGCTGCACATTATTTAACGAAGCTCTGACAGGGACATTTATGTTGTCAGACTTCATGCAAAAACAGTCCTCTAGCCACACAGATGCATCACTTTGCATCTCTGCAACAGCAGCTTCAACTTCAACCTGCCTGAAGGGACTAAGACCTCTTTCCTCTGCATTTGAATGCTGCTTTTTAAATACAGAGGAATGACTGTGCTGGGGTATGGCACATGTAGCAAGGAAGCAGATAGCCTGCTGTCAGGATACAGATTGGGTAAAATGCAAATATCCCTATTTGGCTGAGGAACCCTGGGTCCCTCGGAGGCGACTCACAGCTTGTGTAGAGAGCATTTCATTAATGCTGTGATCATACTGCTCAGCCAGGATAGCCAGCTTCCGGGTCTGCTCCTCCTTGAGCCGTTTGAGGACAGCTTTATGTTCACTCTTTGGCGTGGTCTCCAGCAGATGGTTTCTCAGTGCTTTGTACTGTCTGGTTTGGATCTTGCATGTATCCTGAAACTGCTTCTTTATCTGTAGTTCTTTTGACTGGAAAGACGGAGGGGACACAAACAAAGAAAAAAATAGCATGTTTCAAATGGGGGAAATATCCATTCAAATGGATATTTAGGATTACATTAAGGATATGAGTTCAAGAATCCACAAATGTATATTAACATCTACAGTGCAAGGAGGGAAGCAAAATACACAAGAGGCAGTGACTATTGCTGCAGCTGCTTTGACACTGCTACTGTGCGAAACAATTACAATACAGACACTTTTATAACAAAGCTCCAGCCTAAATACAGCTGTCTCTGCACAAAGAGCCTCACATTTGTCACTGGACTGGATCCAGTCCTGGGTGTTGCTTTTCAAGAAAAGTTCTTGAGGGACAGGACTAATATTTATTAGCACCAAAAGCCATACTTACACATGACTGTGCTTGTATGGCACATAGATATGAACAGCACTTATGTTATGAAAAGCAGCAGACCGGTGCATGGGAAGGAAGAAGGAAAAAGAGCATCGCTTTTTCCATTGAGGGTTTGATGAAGAGAAAATGTATTCCAACCACTGATATTAAGAGCCTGGTTTTCATAAAGATACTCAAAAATGTCTGAGAAAGTTTAGATGCCTGAAGACGTACACCACAAGCAACAGTACCATTGTACTAGTCTAGCAAACAAAACAATCCCCCAGTCCCAGTGGAGGCTTACTGGAGACTGAGTTTTCCCTCTGCACTTTGCTAACATCTCTGTATCAATCCTGGAAAAGTTATCTGGATCTGATTTTGTCATATGACCTCGAGGAAATGAATTATTATTTTTTTTCTTTCACCTGCCTTACCTGCCTCCAGAGCAGCTTGTGAGGGTTAACATCTACTAAGTGTTTTAAGACCCTGAAAAAGAGGATATTCTGGAGTTCCCTGGATCTTTTCTACAGGAGGGCTGGCAGGGACATTTCTAACTAAGCAAAACCCAGAAATGATGAGCAATAGTGGTTAAATGACAGATAAGTTCACCATAGTAAAAAAAAACCCAAATAAATTAATAAAAAACCACCCCCAAACCACTAAGCCCCACTTCAATGCAGTCAGTATACACTCTGGGCCATCCCCACTGTCAGCCACTGTGGGCAAATCCCAAAGCACTGAGGGCAGGAACAGAGCATAGGAACAGATTCCTGTCCCTCAAACAAGTTGGAAGAGCTCTGGGATCTGCACCAGCAAGGCAGATCTATGTGCATGTCTCCTGTCAGCTCCTCCACAGCCTGCTGCTGGCACTAGCTCAAGGCTCAGCAGGGTAGGTGATAAGCACAGCATTTGTAGCTACCTAGAAAGATGCAGTGGGATCAGACAATATATCCAGCCCAATTTAAACACCAGCATGCTCTGCTGCATAAACCAGCAATTCCACTTTGCTAATCTGATGCCAAAAACAGGACAAAGATGGGTTTCATTCAAACAAAAACATGTATCGTGGAGAGGAATACATTGCTTTTACCCTTTCTAAATTCACAGGAAGTTATTTCCCTCCAGGAAACCTTTAAGGTTGTTTCTCCCTGCCCTTAAGGGAAGTGTCAGCAGGTTACACATTCCTGGCAGGGACCTGGTCACAGCAAAACACTGGCAAACTATTTTGTCCTCACTTTCTGTGAAGTCTTGCTTGGACACCAGACACTGTTTACAGGCTTCCAATCCAAAGGCTTTAACAACAGGAAACAGAAGGGAGGGGTAAGATTTCCAGTCAGACTTCTGACAAGATCATTTTGACCTAGTATTGTGAAATACCAGCAAGAGGGTATTTGCATCACAATTAACACACTCAAAATAATAACAGAGCAGTTTTCACTGAAGGGTGAATTCTAGTTATTGGTCCTTCTGGTGCTGTAATAGTGGCAACAGACACTGACCGTTAAAAACCTACTTTCAGGACAAAGGAGCTCACCAAATAACAAAGGGAAAGCCTGAAACATGTGCCCACAAGGGAAAACGTTGCTGGAGAGAGAAACTGAACAAATAGTCAAATTATCTATTCAATTAAGAATACCTGCCTGCATTAGTGAGAAGCAAGAGAAGGAGTTAATACTGGGTAACAGCCTTGATAAATAGGGGATTGTACTACAAACTGAAGGGCTGTCCAGCAGGCTGCATTATGAGCACTGTGTGTACGCAAAGGTGCTGGCCTGACAGCTCAAGCCTGAAATCCTTCACTAATCACGGAACAGCCACGCAAAGCAAACCGCAAGCTTTCCCTGCTCCCCGCAAAACACTCCACCCCTGTCCTCTGGAAAAGGGAAGGGGTTCAAGATTCTGCAGAGGTGAGAGGGCAGCCAAACCTCTGCAGCCCAGAAAGACTGCCGATCCTGCTGTCCCGACTGCGAGCCAGGGAACGAGAACGGACATGCTGCCCACTCGTGTTTGCTCTGCATCACCTTGGGGAGGCAGAACTCGCTCATGCTAATCTCAGAAGGATCAACCTAATACAGCTGCTTCAGTTTTATTCAGCTCAGAGTGCAGTGCAGCTTCCCTGTGAAGTCATCAGCTATTTATACACTATATCCTTGGAGATTCTCAACAGCGATCAGATGGTCCCTTGTTCTCACCAGCCAGGTTTTCACTATTTAATATTATTCTAATATTGACAAATCAGGTAATTTTTTTTTTTTTTTCCAAAGTTCTATTTTCAAGTTGGTTATTTTCTCTGTAAGAAGATAACTTGCAGGTGGTGAAAACTAAGTCAGATGGGAAATATCATGAAGAGGAAAGACCTAGAACAACAAAGAAACCCCATGCTCAGTATGCTATACACTCATTTTGTTACTGGCACAGCTGAACACTGGGTGGAGAGAAGACGTCTGCCTCCTCAAAGGAAATGCACCAGGCTTTGTGAAAGGCCTTATACTCCCTTCTCAGACACTTCAGAATAAACCACTGGACTTCTTTGGATGAAGTGAAGGTTTTACAATGAAAACACTAAGAGCCTCAATTACAGAGGCCCTATAGTTCTGGTCAGCCACTGCAGCTACAAGGGCAGCATGAGAAATCCATGAGAGCACAACACAGCACAGGTCAGTGCTAGGAGCTTCCTGAGGACACTGCAGTTGGCTGGTATCTCACTCTCTTCCCCCACACTTGCTAGCATACTAGCCTTAATATAAAAACAATAACAAGGTGTGCTAGCCAAGATGGGTAGCACAGTTCATTTTGATGCACACAGGAACAACAAAGCTTTTTTGCCCCGTTTTTGGTTTGGTTTTTTTTTAAATGACACCGCTTTGTTACAGAAAAACAAGATTTTCTTCTTGTATATGGGGGGAGGAGGATCAGAAAATGGTGCAGGAGGAAGAGGGAGGGGATAAAAGGGCATTACAAAGATTAAATACATTTTAAACTACCACAAAAAGGCAGGCACGTTGCTGAGAACAACAACTTTTCAAACAAAATGAGGGAGCAGCGCTGCTATGGCCTGCCTACAACGCACTGCAACCCTGACCACCACAGCTGTGGTCCACACAGATGGTGCTCGTAGGGCTGTGGTTGCACCCTGGCAGTTACACAATGTGACAAATACAACACTTCTTTAAAAACAGGTATTCATTACAGAATGAGGTATTTCTGCAAATTAACGAGCTTCAAAATACCTTGGACCTGCATACACTGCAAATGAGAACTGAGCTGCAAGGTACCACATTTCCACCACCACCACCACCAGCTCGTGCCCAGGACTCCTACATCACTTAGTACCTTCAGGCTCTTGGGCTGCTGCCGGACCTCCATGACGTGCTTACGCCTCAGCTCCCGCTCCCGGCGCTTGTTGTATTCCAGCTGGTTGGTGAGCTCAGTCTGGTGCTGGAGTCGGATCAGCTCACAGCGCATCTTCTGGATGGTACTGAGATGGCGGAACTCCAGCTCCTGCATGGACTCGTGCTGACGCAGCAGCATGGCGTGCTCCAGGTCCTTCTGTGTCTGCCTTTTGTTTAACTCCTAACAGAAGGACAGAGGGAATTATTAGATTCTTTGTACTTACTTGGATTTCCCTTCACAATGTGACATTTTGCTTTGTTCACAAGGGCATTTCTCGCTTTCCAAGGCATTTGAGGACAGAGCACTGAGTTTCTATGTCTGATCAGAAGCAGACAGCACTGCCACTGGTAATTTTTCCTTCCTCGTTTCACTTTTCTTCTTCCTGTTCTAGATGCTCAACAGGATTCACAATAAGCATTTTCTGGAAAGGACTGTAACTGTTGTGTCTGTTGACTTTTTGGATCTAACAATTCTCCCACAATAGGGCACTAATCCGAACATTTGATTCTGCGTGTTCCCCTAAATGCCACAGGGATTACCAGATGGTGTTGCAAAACACATCAAACCATTATTTTACAAAAAACCCTTTAGATGTAGTAATTAACACTTCAGTGAGATTGGAGTTGGACTGCAGGTACTCCGTGAGATGTATTTCACACAGGTGGTTCTAGGTCTCCTCTCTGCCTCTCCTCTTACCTCCCGAACCAGGTCCTGCTCCAGATTATGGCGACCAAGGAGCATCCGTCTCTTAAAGCGGCGACACTCCAGCTCCAAGTACTGTCTCTGACGTCTCAGTAAGTTGGCTTCCTCCTCTGCCTGGAAATGCTGGATGTTCTCCTTCTGCTTGGAGAGCCACTCCTGCTTCTCCTTCTTTGGAGTGCTCTGGTTTTCATTCAGCTCCTGGTAACAGCAAGGTAATTAATTGTGGAACAGTCACATTAAGCTCTTTGGCCGCAAACAACTGGGAGGACCTGAACAATAAACTACTTTTCAAAGCTGTTCCACCTTGTCCTCCCATAGCCGGTACCATCCCAGCCTCTGCAAAATGCATCATATATCACATATCTAAAGGAACAACAGGAGACAATTCACAGTGGAGCAACTTTAACTACAACATTTTTTGCACTGGCCATTGTAACTGGCCAAAATGCTGGTTCATGTCCACAGTTTCCCGACATATAGATTAGCTCAAAACGTGAAAATGATGGTTTGCCACTGAAAACAAAAGACACTTGGAGGTCCTGCCATACTGCCTGGCAACTGTTTTTAACAGGCTCCCAAAGGACTGAGAAGAGAAAGAAAGCGTTGTCATCCTCTTGTTCAAACAAAACTCCAGCCACATGAAGCACATTAGAAAATGTTTGTGTTTTGCTTGATCAGAACACATATATGTTTCAAGTAACTCATCAAGGCAGAGCCACTCACTGAGATACCATAACTTAAAAAACAATATAAAGAACTTCACAAGTGAAACTCAAGGCCACAGTTTCCACATTTGTATTAAATCCAATGCATAACCTGAAGCATCTTTAGCAAAAGACTGCTTGCTTGAATCGCATACTGGAGATGCCGACACGGTAACTAGATTTGTCACGATACATTTCAACTCAAGTCTGAGACAGAACTCCTCTGTATTTCATGTGTTTCTTGGTGCTCTGCGATCTACTACCCACTTAGAAAAAGATTCTGTTTATTATAAAGAGCCCACACTACTATAGTTTTTGTTAGATCTTTCTTGGCTCTGCTGCTCTTTAGCCTTTTTTTCCTCCTGGGAAATGTCTATGTTTGGGAATATTCCCCTTTGGAGCAAGTTCCAAAGTTGCGTCACACAAGTTGATGGTTGAGCACTAAATGGTTCTTTCAAAAAAATTATTTATAGTGCTTATGGTTTTAGCCACTCCACAAAAAGTATCAGGAAGTTTTGATTCTATAGTTTCTCTGCATTTCACAAAGGTTATGATTTTCACTACAATACAGTGATGATTATTAAACAGCTTTCTCCATTAAAATTAAATAGTGTTTGACAGATGTTTTCCTCAAAAAAATATCTGCAGGTCAACTTTACTGCTCTGTTTTCTTGCTGCTGCTACAGAAATTATCATTTAAGTGATAAGAAACTTCACTAACTGCTGCAGTGCACGGTCAATATCTGCAGCAACAAGGCATGAGGGAAAAATGCCCATGCTCTTCCTTAAACTGTCTTTTTTCATTCCTTAGGATTACCGAATTTGCATGTTTCTGGCTAAAAATTAATACTAAACAATGAAGAAGTTTGTACTTTCACCAAATAAACATATAAGTGCCAATATATGAATAAACCCTCTTACTCTAAGGTCAAAGATATGAAATAAATGCAGTAGGTACAGGATTCTGCTCATGAGATGCAGAACTTGCTGCAGTCCAGCAGAAGACCTCTTGTGCACGGTGGCACGTTTATTCCTGAGCGTTCACCGCTCTCGCACTGCACCGTACACTGTTCTACATTCACATTTCTCATTACAGATGAGTTACCTCTTTCAGCTGCTCCTTACGGAGTTTATATTCTCGCTTCTGGGACTCCAGGAAACTGTTCAATTCTTTTTTCTGTTGGGCCTGAATATGCTGTTGAAACTTCTTTTCTTCATTAGCCATCACTTTAGCCTACAGTAAATCCAGCAGCGATTCAGTTTGAGTCCCGATGGATTACAGCTCATGTTCCATTTCAGCCCCAAGACCCAGAACTCATGGTACAGTCACCACGATACTCACCATGACTGAATAAGCACCAGTCTCAGGAGCTTGTCCTCACTCTCTTCTCATTCCAACCCCCCACCAATGCACCCAGCAGGAGTCCTTTTTCAGTGCCTCATTCCCTCAGCCCTACTGTTCAGTTAGTCTTGCCTAACAAAGTCAACACCTTATGATAAACTATATCCTCAGCCCTCCACCGAGAGATCCAAGATGAACAAAGAATCAATAATAATTGTTGTAGGCGGCACCACTCCATTATCAATTATTTAAAAGCATAAAACCCCCCATATCCATAAGCAACTAAATGGTGAACACTTGAGTGTAGCTGGCACATTTCTCTGCAGGCTAATCTGCCTCTATAACGCTCGATGGCAGTTTGTTATTGCCAGCAGACACATGGCAAAAGAAAGGAAAACCCTTACAGTATTTTTTCCAGGGCCAGTATATTAACATTTAGTATAAAGCACTGTGATGAAGGACATACCTTTCCTCTAGTTACATATAAACCCCTTAGTGTAAGGAAGTGATGTATTAGCCTTTTTCTAATTAGCAATTTACCTGGCTTCTGAAAACACACATGTAAGAGACTACAATGTCATCTCTTTATCAGTGAAGGGAAGCGGACAATTCAACATAATTAACAAATACAGACTGGTCTGCTAAACTGTAATCTCCTACCTCTTTTTCCATGGCTGCTTGGTGCTTTTTAATTAGCTTTTCCATTTCTGCAGCAAAATTGTTACGCTGTGTTTCAAGATCTTTGTCCAACCTGAGGCGATGCTCGTCCATCTCTGCCTTCAGTTTATTCTCTAATGCCATCAGTTGCTTCTGGTGTTGCCGTCTCATACGTTTATAGCCAGACATCTGCTCTCGGAGTTCAGAGTCTTGTTCATGTTCCTGCATTTGCCTTGTCACCTAGGAAGGTAACCACATCAGGCCAAAGTAAGTTAATGCTTCTTAATCTGCTTTGCGGCAGTCTTCAAACCACAAAAGAAAACTGTTCAGTAAAGAAATATGATTTTGTTGTAAAGAAAAGCAGACATCCTAATGGCAGCAGAGCAGATTAAAAACTGAATTCTGCTGGAGAAGATAAGCTCACATGGGCTCCAGCAGAAAACCTGTACAATTGATATAAAGCTGGTACTAAATAATGTCTTTTAGACTGCTGCAGTGAGTGTCCATATATACACACACAAGAATACATAAGACACACACAAATAAAAGCCACCTTATTATTATAAACTGTTTCTTGCACTCTGCTAGGCATATTGGTTTTCAAAAATACCTAACATTCACAAATCACATTTGCCCAGGTGTCAGTCACATTTAAGCTTTTATTAACTTACATTAAACTATTTCAGTGATAATATCTCAGTCAACGAGGACAGCTCATATTCTGATGAAATCCTAACAGCTCTCAGTAGTTTCACAGCCCTGTGTTCAAAGGCATCCCCTCCCTATACGACTTCATCAAAATAAAAACCTCAACATACCAGCGATGCTGTGCGTATAGTAGCAAAGTGCTCTCGGTTGCGATAATGAGACTTGTGGCGAGATACTTGGGGAGGAGACTGGGGTTCTGATGCCCTCGTTCGAGGATCTGATTCCTCCCTGTAGTTTTCTTCCTCCTTATCAGCAAATATTAACATGAGAGAATAGAGAGAAACTGTGTTATGAAAGATTTTTATTTTGGTCTGGTTCAAAAGACATTTAGAAAGAAAAAAAAAACAAAACATTTTACATTCAGCAGCCCTGAAAGATCTTCCTGCCAATGAACTGGATGAAGGAATATCCAACTATCCAATAACTGCAACAAGAGCTGTGGCCTAGGATCTTTGCTTTTGGTAATTTCATTGCACTTTTTTATTACTAGGAGGAAAATTACTAATTAAAGCTGAAAAGGAGAAAAATGTGAGTTAAATGATTTACTTCAACAAAACATAAAACCTAAAAAGTAGATTATATCAAGCCTGAAAGAAAAAAAACATCTTTGTAACCCTGAAAGATAAAGGAAGATTTTCATTACACCCACTACAGAAATACCTCAAAGCAAATTTTAAAATTTGTCACAGCGTATTCCACATTCTTATTTTGAGTTTGTCATTCATCACAGAGAGATGAGGAGTTAGATATGATATACTAATTAACTCCCCAAGGAAATACCTGCGTCTCTGTTGCATATCTGGGCAAAGAACAAAACATTCTAACCACACCTGTTCATTAGCTACAGAAACGTTACTGGTTTGAGGAAAGGTGTGATAACCCCTCCATGGCAAGAGCAGCGTGGTTCAGAGGGACGCTCCCCGGTTTATCCTTCATCGTGCAGAGGTAAAGGAGGGGAAGCGGTTTCACAGCTTGGCATGGCCAGAGTGCTGCCTTTCTTCTTCTGTACATCTTTGTTCATCAACCAAATATTCAAATCAAGTGCTGGGAAGCTGGGTGCTTCAGGAACAGATTTCCATCACTACTGTGGGACTTATATTTAAGAATTCACTAACTAGGAGGTACAAAGGGGGAACTCTCACATCCTTTAGTCCCATGAAGCAGCGCTCTGCCAGTTAAGGGCATCCACTAAATAAACCTATTCACAAGCTGCCACTCCAACTCACAGTAAAGTGAACTGGTTTTGAAACAATGCAATTACTAAAATAATTTTTAGTGAATCAATAGAAATAAATGATTTTTACAGCAACCTTGCAAAGTTTCCAGCACACATTAATATATTGGGACACAATACTAGTAATTTCAGGTAATTATTTAGGATAGGAAGCACTCGACTTTTTGTCGCCGTGCCAACCAAATCCTCTCCCATTTTACACCTTCAAAGTTATCCAGTAAAAATCCAGTGCTTACCGGCTTTAAATGAATGACAGAGCTATTTGACATCACGGTGTGGTCCCCCTCCATCATATCCAGCTCGCTCTTATCATCCGAGGCATCTGGAAGACTGTTAACACTACTGCTTTGGCTACTGGCACTGATAGACATACTAGGAATGGACTGATTACTTCCGACACTATTCACTGTTCCTGTCCTGCCAACACCATGATCTTGTTCCTAGGAGAAAGGAATTATTAAGAAAATCCAAATCCATCACAGTTGTATCTATGGACATTGCCAAATGAAATGTTCATTCCATTCCTTTCTAAAGGCATCTACCTGCCACGTCATGGCAGTTCCCACCCTCCAGGCATTGCCATGAAACATTTCTCTTGTGGGATGCTGAGGAGAGAAAGAATCAACCTTGTCAAGATTAACTGGCTGATTCTTGTCAACAGCAAGGCTGTTAACAAGCTGAACTCTATCATGTATGAGCAACAGCGTGTCACCAGAAACTGTTCTGACACCAGCATCATCTAAGTGCTCAGTTAGGACCCTGCACGGTTCCTTTCTGTACGTGAGAGAACTGCAATACAGACTCTCAATTTCTGCATGGGGATTGCAGCATGAAACCCAAAAAAGACAAATTAATTTCCTTAATGACTTCTTAAAAAAACCACCAAAAAACACAAAACAAAAAAAACCCCAAGTACAAATTTCTCTGTCTTAGACTCAGAACAATATTCTCCAGACAAAACTAGAAGACTGTCAAAGGCCTTGTATATATGGTTAAAACAGAGGGTAACGGCAGTTGGTGAAGAGTCCTCCTGAAGCCTTATAAACAGGCAAAGAAAGCTACAGAACTGGAAGGCAACTGTTCAAGCATGAACACACGGCACAGCTTCTTGCCAGCACTAGGCATCTACTCTGTCCATCCTTGTTTGTGCCTTCGGGTCTTTATTCCAAGCACAGAAACAAAGACAGAGTTTACAGCCAGGTGTGTAAACAGCCTCCATTTGTTTCAGCAATATCTGAGTTGTGGTTAGTTAAATGACAGCAACATTCTCTGGTTTAGTGATGAAATCCAAAGTTTCTCTCACCTCCTCCTCCTCCTGTGTTTCGACTGCAGGGCCATTGTGTGCCTCCTGGAAGAGGAGCTTCTTCATTTTACGATACTGCAGGTTGTCCAGTTCTCTCACTGCATCCTTTGTTCTCTGAATCAAGTCTATTAACACTGTTTCGGGCCGCTCCCGAAGAACAAACATGTGCTGTAGAACATACAAATAGGTGAGTGACCTCTCATGCCTCCAGCGTGCATGCTTTGAGGATAAAATTAGGAGCTCTAGCTGGGTTTGTTAGCCCTCTTCCCTGCACAGGAGAGTACCTTCACAGCTTACATTGGCACTATTTTTAGTCTTCATGATCCAGATAGATTTCAGAATGTTTGTTTTCTGATGGGAAGCATCCACCAAAAAGTAAAGATGTTAAGAAAACCAGAAATGGTATTTTACATACCATGAAAACGGGCTCTGTTTAAATCTAGACTTCTTTGGATGTTGGGGTACTTACTGATGTAATCTACTTGTGATTTAGAGGGGGAAGAGCAACAAATAACATATAAATGCTAAAGGTGTTAGACTGGTTAAGTATCTCTGACCAAATGACAATTAACTCATCAGCTACCTCTCACTAGAAAACATTTTTCCTTGTTTAGTAAAGCTTGAGAATCAAATATTTGGCATACAGCTCTGAGTCATAAAATAGGCTGTGAACCTTCAAGCCTGGCCCTAGAACAGTTAGACATGTTATGCTCTTTTTTTGGAAACACTCACTGCATTTCACTGCAAAGGTGGCTACATTTTGCCAATAGGTAAAACAAGTCCTGTCTATGTGTGTCAGAAGCAGCTTTTGCAGTCTCCAGATGAAATGTGCTGTGCAAGCATGAGTCATTATTAACACCACCACTAGTTTCATTCTGTTCCTTAGGAGAACTGCACTGCCATTTCCAACATGTCACATTCCCTACCTGTCCCTGCAAAGTGGCATGCAGCTGTTTCAGACTATAGATATGGAAGGAATACATTCACAAATGTTTAATTTCCATCAATGTTCTCTTTAATTGCAGCGTGTTGCTCAAAATAAAACCAATCTGTAGAATTCTGAAATGGCAGGACTACACACCCACACTGAACCTTTACTGGATAATTGCATTTTCTTTCTGAATACATAGTTTTTAAAGAGGCAAGAGTCCTCAGAATCACTTAAGTAAAAACGTGCAAAAAGGTGATGATAAAACCTTCATAAATAGCATCCACTTCCCAGTAATGCAAAATTTTGGAAAATGGCTGTTTAGCACAAACGTGGCTGGGATAAAAAACCCCCAAAATAATGTCACGAGCACTCTGAAGAGAATAAGTTAGCAAAATTCTGAATGCCACCTGATGCCACAAAGGAAATCCATCAAAGTCACACTCAGAATAAAGCAGCTTTAACACCTAACGTCTGTGTGAGTTGCATTCACTTAGGAACACTCCAGCTTTTTGCAACTATCTACCACTTTGGCTTTGTTTCCAGACTAGAGCAAGGAAAATCAAGGATCTGCAGCATACAGGAGCTCAAATGAAGAAAAAAAAAAAAGCCTAAGAAATAAAGAAGGAGAAAACCTGCAAATGGCTGAGGCTTATTCATGTCAAGGAAAAGTATGGGGAAGAAAAACTGCTTTCCTCTGCCCCCTTTCCCCCAGAGATACTATTAGAACAGCGAATTTCAGTTCTACATGTAAAGCACATAGGTGATGGGAAAGGATAAAAAGCCTTTAGGGGTATATATAGCATAGAATAAAGAGGGAAGTAACAAAAGGTATTTGCTAACTAATGCAGGGCAGCTCCGTCAGGATTAATTATAATCACTGTAAGGACAGACTGAGCTTAAGAAACGGAAACTCTTGAGAAGCTGATGGTCAGCCAGTGTCACTTGCTGGAGTGTCCTTTTATGATGAGAACAAGGCTGGCTTGGAGAGTCACCTGGGGAACTGCCTGAGATACTGCAAAGGGGCAGTAAAGCGAGGACACCAGCTTGGTACATTCCACAGCACCCTCTGCTCAAAGGTCTTGGGGATAACAGGCGGAGAGAGCACTGCTAACTGTGACCCAACACAGCAGGTGAGACAGAAGTGTCTCCCAGGGCACAGCCACTTTTTAATATCACATGGAAAACAAAAAGGACAAGCAAGCCAACCTTCAGAAGCTCCTCTGATGTAGGCCTGTCTTGAGGAATTTTCTGGAGGCAAGAATCTACGAAGTTTCGAAAATAATCAGACCTGTGACAAGGAAAGCAAAAAATAAACCAAACATTTGAGTTAACTACCCAGTTTAATTTTCAAAGATCATTAAAGAATCAAGACATTCACATTTGCACACTGCTAGGAGAAAGAGTGGGGAGGAACCACACAGACCCAGAACTTCATACTACAGCCTCTGACACCCCTAGTCAAGCCAGAGCCTACCACTATTAGTGGGTAGATCCCTTTAACTTCAGCTTCCAGACAAAACATTTCAGCCAAAGAATGTAAAAATACAGGACAACTGAAGAGGGAAGTTCCACATAAAGGTGGACAGCCACGTATCTCAGGGTGAGCATCAACCCTGTCAAATTCTCTACTGCACAAACTTTTCAAAGTCTAATCAGAGCCCCTGTCCCGTTCCACCTCTGTGTGAGGGTGTTTCATCCACAAACTCTATTAACAGACAATTCCTGAAATGCCTTTGGCCCCTCAGACGCAACTTCTACACTGCTGTGCAATCTGTCACAAGAAAGACTTCAGGTCATGATTTGTTTAGTGACATCTCTCCCTCCATAGCCTAAAATTCTGTATTCTGCCCTTTCTTTCTCTGAACACAAGTTTCAGAAGGGCAGGATTATACCCTGAAAATAATAGTGTATCAGTTGTACAGGTTTTATTTCTTTCCTTCCCCACTGTTCCCCCCCATTCTATCATGTAATGGAGAGTTTCACTACTGCAATTGTTCTGCAAATTAAATTCTTGCAATTTTTGGTCAGAAAAATACATAAAATTAGTTGGATGTTTTGTCAAGCACTAGGGTGTAAAATAGCCTAACCAGAAAATCACAGAAGTAGAAAAAAATTCTAAAAATGTGATATAATGTATTTTGTTAGAGGGCTAGGACTATGGCTCAGAAAAATGTAATTAGGAAGCTTTTAACTTTTGAAATTAGTTTACTGTGTCTGCAGTTTCAAAAGACAGTTGTTGAGGCTGGGAGGCACAAAATGTTACTACTGTGCTTTATTCTTCTGAAGTTTATGCAACACACTTGCTGCACACAAGCAGTATCTTCATCTTGCAAAGCAATACTTCAACAAAACAAGATTTGGGAACTGACAGTGTGGTTTGTGATTCAAAAACACTAAAAACCGCATTTTTGGCTAGCCTGAGAGCTTCCAAAGTTTACTGACCCATGAACTGAATTTGTTTTATAGTATCTTATGTTCTTCCAGCAGCATGTCCTGTTTCTACTACATTCTAGAGTCTAAAATGTATATTTAGTAACTGGTCAATTTTGTATATAAAATATATAGCGAACCTAAATAAGAACCTTCCAGCTCACACCCTCCCAATAGGAACCCAGCATTGCAAGAACTCAGCGTGACAAAGCACTCCATTGACAGCAATTCCCTTCAACATTCCTCCCTCAGTAATACTCACCATTCATTAGACTGTAGTGTAGGGGATTCATTCTGCGCTATGTGATATAAGGCACTCATTGCGTTCATATTAAACAAAGGAGGCTTCCTTTCCGCTACACACAAAAGAAAATAGGTTTTATATAGGGAGATAGTCTTATGGTTTTGCTCTTTTTTTTTTTTTTTTTTTTTTTTAACTTTACTTCCCTTTAAAAAGAAAAACCACATCAGCAGAATCACTATTGCCTGAACATGGAACCCCAAACCAACCCTACCCTGCAATCAGACAGATATGCTGGCATATGTCCTATACCATTGCAGAAGATGAAAGCACTTTGAAGATCAAATGCCTTGTCCTCTCAAGCTTTTAAATTACGTGGTTTATCATAGTTGAGTTCTCTGACTCATTTTAATGTACTAAAATAGGAGTAAGTTAACAGTAAGCTCTATACTCGGTGTTTAGCCACTAAACATTCTTGGTTTTATACCCTCCCTCCCCCTTTTTTTTTAAGCTACAGTTGCTAAAAAGCTAACAAATATTTAATTCTAGCAGGACAGCAGTGATGAAGAAAAAGCTGGTTACAAGAACCATCAAATCACACTTAACTGACTAAGCACATGGGCAGGAAGTCAGTAACAGGCCAACTCTTGATACTATTTTGAGAGTTGCATTCTCTTTGGCTCTTCTCTCTCTTTCAAGCTTGTGTTACTCTTATAGACTGACACAGCATGAAAGCTTAATGAGGAAGGAGATGATCTCACTGTAACAACAAAATTGAAGCTTCATCAGAATGTTTATGGGGTAAACCTATAAAGCTCAGCCTTGCCATAAACATTCCAGAGAAGCTGGTCAGGCCACGAGGACGTTCCTACACTAGTGAAAATGCAGCAGAAAACTTTCCTTCCTGAAAAAAAATGAACAAGGAAAAAATAATGCTAGTTTTCTTATTCTGCTCTTTAATTTTGAGTTGAATAACAGCAGTAAGCTATGCATCAGAGATCACTGTCCACTCACTGCTATCAGAGAATGGGCTAAGCCCTATAAATTCCTCAGAATGGGTAAATTGAGGAATTAAGCCTTTCCTCAAAAGTAGCACTTTACCTTGTCATATCTGTCAGATAACCAGTTGCTGCTATTGAGGCTCAGACTGATTATCCATTAAACTACTTTAACTGATCCCTTAAACTATTTTAACTCACTGTTCTCCTTTTTTACTCCTAACTCACCCAAATAAAATTAAAATCCTCAGGAAACACCGAAACCAAGCCTTCAATGAGAGCCATTTCTAAGACTAAGTAATAGTTTGAGAAGACTACTAGATGTCTCATTTTCCTGCCTTCTTCCCATGCTTATTCAAACCAAGGCAAATGAGATAACCACACCGACCCAGCCTACAACACTCCACTGTCCTGACCCAGTCTCACTTCCCACCACACTAGAAGCTGTAGACGAAGCCTAACGCTTCACATTGCAGAAAGGCAGCGTGCAGGAAGGCACCCGGGGGTGTGGTGGCCATGAGCTCACTGCAT